AGTAAATAGTGTTAGAGATGCAGTCAAAACTCTTAGATCTAAGTATTACTTTGAACGGCTCCCTCCCAATTTTTTTATCACATAAGCGAACTCTTATAATAACCATTTGTTGCAGAGAATTGATCAACTTCCATCGGATGTACCGACGTATTTGACCGCTGCAGCGGGACCATCAAGATATCCGTCAAGGAAATTTTGTTCGGTGTGTGGATACTTGTCGAATTACAGTTGTAAAACTTGTGGGATGAAGTATTGTAGTGTCAAATGCTTGGAAACTCATGAAGAAACAAGGTAAAATTTCATTTTCGATATAATTATTCGTGTTTGATTCCTCAATCTAATCTATCACCTAATAAATTTAGATGCATGAAATATACAGTGTGATAATAGGTGAAAAACAAAAGGATGACGGTAGGTTAGAAGATCGATTGGTTGAGAAATAGGGATCGAACGAACAGGTTCACTCACAATGTCAACGCTATAAACAGTGATGTCTTCCAAATTTTGATCGAACATGTGTATAAATAATAAACAAGGTAGGAACCCAATAATAATGATATATTATATATTTGTACAAAAATAGTCAACAAACAAACATAACAATAACAATAAACGAACATAACTACAATTAGATGAGAAATGGGAAAATAAAAAAGGTTCTTTAATAAAAATAATTTGACTACGAATGAACGCGTCCCTGTGAATATAGGAATATGGTTAATAAGTAATATCAGAGGAAAAGTCGTTAGTGAGTTTGTAGTCCGCGAAATAATTTTTGTTCAAGGGGTGAAGCATTGACGATCTTGCGTGATGAATTCGAGCTCTTTAAATTTACTATGATTCTCTCCGCAAAACACGAACATCACTAGTAAAGGCGAGAATATAATGTTGTGAAAAAAATTTTTTAAAATAAAAAGGTCATAATAAGTAAAAAAAATATATTATATATATACATAAGCTATGCTATTTGTGTAGGTAACGCGTTTTTTTGGTTGGGTCAATGTACTTTATAAATTATTGCTAAATGTTACTTGTTATTTGGAATGCTGTCATTAGATTTTGTCCTGGGCTTTAAGGACGATGGGGACTATGTTCAAGGAAATGGATGAATCGAATATTTCAGCAAATCATTAAATGATAAAACGGTTGTAACAACAAATTTCTTTTAAAAAAAAAGAACCCACCAATGATAATAGCCAATATAATGACGGCGGTGATTGCAAGAATCACGGTCATCTTGGTGTTCTTCCACCACATTTTTTTACGAACTTGAGAGGTACGTGTTTTGAATACGTCTGCAGAACCCTGTAACATTGCTATGTTTTATAGGTAATGCAAGCAAAAAATGATTTTAATGAAATAAAGATTGGTGGCCGGTAAAACCCAAGACTTCCCAACAATATAATCTTATGCACCTGTCTGTTCTTCCAACTCCTCTAGTTTTTTCCCCCGATTGGCTAATTCTTGTAAGGACTTATGAAGTTCTGTTGTGGTCTTCTCGATTTTTTCAGAGACCTCCTGAACCTTGGTGGGAGCTTCAGCTGAACGACGGCCATCATAAAGTTCGGCTTTCTCTGGATCTGTGGGCCTGCGAACGGACAAGAGGAGAGGTGTGGCATGATAAATGGAGAAGAAAGGTAAAATAAATAAAGTTAATTGAAGATAGTAGGCGGAAGAAAATTGTATGGGAACAGTGAGACCGACGGAGAACACCAGAAAACCAACATTGCCTAAAAACGCAATTGACACCATCCTATTACAGCCTTTTGAATGCTTTCGCAACCAATTAGGAATGCCTCTCGTATGACTTTGCTTTTTTTGTCCCAATAGCCTCTTTACCCTTTTAATTACTTTCCTTCCCCGTCTTCACTTTCCCTTCCCGTTTCCACTTTCCGCCAATCACACCCTCAAAGATTAGGATAGATAGGAAAATAAATAAAACTTACATAGTGTCTTATATGATGCTCTCTAAATATGTGTGCTTGAATGATAACTAGGTGGTAAACAAATAATCGGAAAGAGACAACACAAATATTAACAAATAGATATTCTGTAGAAATTGCTAAATAGCGAATAATTCCATCCAATTACAAATAATGAATATAATTTTTTTAAAAAAAATTGTTAAAGAACGGGGGGCTTTGTTAATAACTAGAGTGGCAGTGTTTTATTATTATTACTATTATTAATTTTTTAATGCTTTCACTGTGACCGAAATGATATAATAAATACCTTCCCGATCTTTTAATGCCGCTTTGAAGTTGTTTTTTTGAAAGGTCCGACTTTGTAAGAAAAAAAGGACCTCACCGTTCCTCCAGAACCAGTCAGAATAAACAATCGTATCTACCTTATTGATCTACCTATATTTTCGAATTACACTTGGTTGGTATAACGTTATCTCCTGGAAGGCTTTTTCTTATTTCCCGTTACAAGCTACTCTTTTTTTTCAGGAATGGAACCGGTATTTGATTTCAATCCTTGTTTTTTTTTCGTTCAGTTCTTTGACCCAATATAAATACACGTATATTTCGTCTCCGATAGTATTTTGCTATATAAAGTTGTTATATAAGAATAACTCGTAAGCAAAAATTTTTAAAACATAAGCCTCAAGCTCTTTCTATCGTTAGTGGCGACAGAAAAGATCCGAATGCTTAAGAAGTTTCCCATTCAGGACGGATTCAAGTTTTATATATGCACTCAACCAGTGAGTGTTACCTGTTACAACATCAATTAAGATAATCAAGATTGTCACTTTTTGTTGGATTTTCGCAATTTCACACTGTTATTTGAATTTTTTATCCCGCGTTCTAGACTTCCCAATCCCTATATCCATTTAATTCAACCGTTCTTTTTTTAGTTTCATTCTGCAAATGACTTTATTTAGTTCATTAGGAAATAACTAAATTTAGTATACGATGCCTTACGTTTATTACGTAGCATTTATTTCAGATCACGACCTCAGGTTCCACCTACCCAAAAAAGTCATTTCATTCTTTTTTGGCCTCTAGTAAACGCATGTTCGTGAAATAAGCCGCATTAATGCAAAGAGCCTGAGTCGGAGCGAGGTTCCGGATCATTTTTTGATCTCAAACTATAATTACTCGTTTTTTAAGTGTCGATGTATCTATAAACCAGCTAAAGCATTTGAAATAATATCAAGATCAATAATATGCAATAACAATTGTTATTCTGAATAATTTATTGTTTTAAAAAAAGTAACAACAAAAATTTATACTATTATTTGTTCTCATATTAAGATTTCCGTATTTAGATTTTTGTTTCGTATCAAAAAACTTATAATCTCATTTAAAAAATATTGTTAAAATTATATAAATGTATATTTTCTCAATAGAACAAAACATAATAATCGGAAATAAAAAAATATTGTACAAATGATATATTATATTATTATTATATTTTATTATTTTCAAATTAAAATTAAATTTTGATTTATAAGTTAATTGTATAGTAGATAATATTTTCAGATTTTCAAATGCATGTTTCTAATTTAATATCTATAGAAAACAAAATATATAAAATAGAGCTTCTAACAAGCCAAGTCAAGTCAAGCCAAGTTGGCTCTCAAGCTTTTTTTTTGATCATTTTTTATATAGTAGATTATATTTCAACTAAATTTTACAATATTATTTATATTATACAAGTTTATATGAGCCTATGTGAGCCTATGCAAGTTAAAAAAAACAAGCTTTTTTTTGGAGTCCTAGTATAAAATACTCAAATTTTCTTATAATAATTCAATTATTAATTTATTATCATTATTTTTTTAAGATAAACTAAAATATAATTGAGATATATCTATTTATTAATAAATTTTAAATCATATTATATAATAAAATTACTATTAAGAAATTTTTTAAAAACTTATACAAATCAATAATTATATATTATTTTATACAAATTATTTCATATACATATTACTTTTGAATATTCAAGATTTAATATATAATATATTATTTTTATAATATTTAAAATCAGATTAACAAAAATCAAATATTTTGCTATTAGTTTAAACTATTTAAAATCCATTTGTAGTCTAACTTGAAAAGAAAGCCTTAATTAGAAAATTGGTTCAAGTATCTTCATATTTTATTATTTAAATTCTATATTTTTACTTATATTTTATATATATTATAATACTTATTATCATCTGTGACTGATAAATTATTTAAATTTTATATAAGATTAGAATAATTCAAGTTAGAACTTCAATAATTGTTAAAAAAAATATAAGAAAAGTCTTAATTAGAAAAATTAAATAAATGTTCCTATATTATCTTGTTTAATTATCATGAACTACTTCTAATAATCATAATATTATCTATTAAATAATTAGTATTTAAAAAAACTCTTTCCCGTCCATCACCAAATTTCCTAATTAGGAAATATTTCTCAAATTAAAAAAACTCATCAAGTTCT